ACTCCCAGTTTGTAGATGACATGATTTTCTCAGTAGAATTAGTTAAGTGAATTCAGCAAGTTTTTAGGATGTGAGATCAACACACAAAGATACTAACGACAGACATGTGGAGATGAACTTTAAAACACAATATGATTTAAAATTATTTCAAAGAAAAGGTAATATTTAGGTACAAAATTATGTACAAATTTTAACAGAATACATAAAAGATCTGTATCCTAAAATTCAGAAAGTGCTGATGAAAGGAATCATAGACCTAAATAAGTGGATATATATCGTGTTCATGAATTGGAAATTTCAACATATTAAAGATGTCAATACTTTAAAAGTTGATTTATAGATTTAGTGCAATTTTTATCAAAGTCCTAAAAAAGCGTTTTGTAGACATAAACAAGTTTATTCTAAAACGTATATGGAAAGGCACAAGACCAAAAATAGTGAAAACAATTTTCAAAGAGTAAAGTGAGAGGAATCCCTGTGCCTGGTGTTGCTATATGTCTACAGAAAACAATGCAATGTGGTGCTGACAGAGGCAGAGACATGTAGACCAAAGGAACAGACTAGAGAATCCAAAAATAGACCCACACAATTATGCCCAATGAATCTGTAAAAACAATTAAATGGAGGAAGGATAACATTTCAATAAATTGTGTTGGGGACAATTACTATGCATCCATGGATAAAATAATGAACTTTACATTCAATCTCAGACCTTACCAAAAATGAACTAAAAGTGGATCACAAATTCTTCCCTGCTGTAGTGCAGTGGCGCCATCTCGGCTTACTGCCACCTCCGCCTCCCAGGTTCAAGCAATTCTCCTGCCTCAGCCTCCCGAGCAGCTGGGATTACAGGCGCCCACCACCATGCCCGGCTAATCTTTGCATCTTTAGTAGAGATGGGGTCTCCAATTCCTGACCTCAGGTGATCCACCCTCCTCAGCCTCCTAAAGTGCTAGGACTACAGGCATGAGCCACCGTGCCTGGCCCAAAACTATAAATATTTTAGAAAAATAAACATAGGAGAAAGTCTTCAGGACTTAAGAGTAGGTGGTGTTTATAAAACAGATGGTGCTTTCATAAAACTATATGGTGTTTTTAAAATAAAACTAAACACATACCTATCATATAGCCCAGCAATAAAAGTTTTAGGCATTACAGTATTACAGAGAAATGAACATTTCTGTTCACATGAAAACATGTGTACAGTTGTTCATAGTGACTTTACTTGTATTAACCAAAAGCTGGAAACAACCCAAATGTTTTCCTACAGTGAATGGTTAAACAAACTGTGGTAAGTTCATAGAATTGTCTTTCCTTTGAGATACCATTCCTGAAACTGTCAAAACTTTTCTGAAAACCTAAGCAATGAATTTATGGCTGTTTCATTTGCATTGCCTATTTAAGGAAGTAAAATGAACGATAGTTTTTGCCCTCCTTTACCTATGGTCATGTGGTAAGCCCTTAATAGAAGTCAGCTTTTGCCAGCCGAGCACGGTGGCTCATCACCTGAGATCAGGAGTTCGAGACAAGCCTGACCAACATGGAGAAACCCCAGAAATGGGTTTTAGTAGAAATACTAAAAATAGAAAATTAGCTGCGCATGGTGGCACATGCCTGTAATCTCAGCTACTCAGGAGGCTGAGACAGGAGAATCGATTGAACCCGGAGGTAGAGGTTGCTGTGAGCCGAGATCCGCCATTGCACTCCAGCCTGGGTGACAGCTAGACTCTGTCTCAAAAAATAAAATAAAATAAAATATAAAATAAAATTTAATTTTAAAAGTCAGCTTTTATTATGAGGGGCTCTCCATCTCCAGATGCCTGTGAGGAAATGAGTGCGCTATGTATCTGGAACACTGTGGATGTGGGTTTTGGACTGAGTGGAATGTTGATCTGCCTTAGAATGGATCTTTAAGATCTATTTTACTTTTAAGCTTCTGTGATTCAGAATGCCTGGAAAAGCTAATGTGTGCTTCTGTATTTTCTGTGTTTCCACAGATAAGAATAATGTGAAATATTTTCTAGAGCTTTTGGAAAAATTATATGTATTTCTGTAGTCTTTATAATTCCAGTTCTCAAGTTCCAGTTCATCCAGAGTTGTATGTCATCTGTATTGGTCAAAAGTCCTATTGAATGAAAAACAGTGTGGAGGTCCCTCAAAAACTAAAAATATAGCTACCATATGATCCAACAATCCCACAAATCCAAAATAATGAAAAATCACTATATCAAAGAGGTATCTGTACTCCCATGTTTATCGCAGCAGTATTCACAATAGTTGAGATATGGAATCAAGCTAAGTGTCCATCAATGGATGAATGAATAAACAAAATGTGATGTATCCACACAACGGAACACTACTCAGCCATGAAGAAGGAATCCTGTCATTTACAGTAACATGGATGGAACTGGAGGACACTATTTTAAGTGAAATAAACCAGGCACAGAAAGACAAATATGACACAATCTCATTTATATGTGAGAGCTAAAAAGTTGATCTCATGGAGATAGAGAATAGAATAATGGTTACCAAAGGCAGGGAAGGGGAGGAGGGAGATGAAGACAGATTGGTTAAGAGGTACAAAAATGTGGTTAGATGAGTAAGTTCTAGTGATTGGTTAAGAGGTATAAAAATGTGGTTAGATGAGTAAGTTCTAGTGATTGGTTAAGAGGTACAAAAATGTGGTTAGATGAGTAAGTTCTAGTGATTGGTTAAGAGGTAGAAAATGTGGTTAGATGAGCAAGTTCCAGTGTTTGATAACACAATAGAGTGACTATAGTAAATAATACTTTATTTTATATTTCAGAATAGCTAGAAGAAACAATTAGGAATTTTTCCAACACAAAGAAATAATAAATATTTGAGAAGAGAGATACTTCAACTGCCCTGATTTGATCATTACACATTGTATGCATGTATGAAAGTGTCACATGCATCCCATAAATATGTACGTACAACTATTGTGTATCAATTAAAAATAATTTTTAAAAAGAAAAAACATAGCCCTATTGGGTTGAATAAGATTGACTTTTTAAGAAAAATGTTATTACCTGAACTGAGGTTCACTGTCCTATTTAAAACTGATAATAATATTCATAATCATTTAGGTGTTAATGCCCAGGCTTCCAAAGACTAATCACAGAAAATACAGCCCATCAGATAGAACCTAAGAATTAGCTATGTAGTGTGTGCTCTAAATTATGACTGTGGCAATGATCATAATTATGACTGTGGCAATGATCATAATTCTACCTCTCATCAATTTTTCTTTAGGATTACTTGCTATAAGGCTTATGGAAAAAAATATATTCTTTTTAGGAATAAATCCATTATTTTACTAATAATATTTTTACTTGTCATTCAGAGGGGTACATTCAAATTTATTTTCACCTTTAAAGTAAAAACTAAATGCCCTCCTAGTCTATAAAAGAAAACGCTGAAATACATACATAGTGGAAACCACATTGCTAAACAAGTAAGTCTTATAGTGATCCATGTATAGATGGAACATCATTCCAGTGTGAGCAGGCTGTGCTTCCTGTCCATCAAATGTAGTACAGTACAGGGTGCTACCAGGTGCCAGCAGGTGTGCTAGGGGGAAAGATTATAATATTCACAGAAGATTGTTTTTAGAAACTCAAACTTGTAAAATTTGATTGGAATATTTGTTAGGCAACGTGGTTACAATTATGTATTTATAATTATATTTCAAATTCGAGCATCAGTAGTAGTTTCCTTGCCTTTTACCAAGGAGTAACACTTATTCTTGTTACTGGATTCACTGTAAACTGACCACAGCCATATCCATCTACAGTGGTTTGTGGAGTCTGAATCGGCAGTTATGAGAATGAGCACAATTAGGTCTCTAGATTTTCTTGTTTCCAGTCTTAATGTTTAGTGAAACTTTTTGTTGGAGGACAAAGAGCAATAAACTCAGAGTTTGGAGATACTGCTGTCTGGCGGGGTCTGCCAGTAATCCTTTATCTGGCATTGGCAACTCATGCTTCCTTGTCACTCAGACTTTCTTATCTGTGCAAAATCTAACAACAACAACAAAATGACTGATATTAACCCAGTGACCCAAGTGGGCATGAACACATACCAAATACTTTATATCCTTGAAATTTTTTAATTATTAAAACAACCCTAGCAGACAGGTACTGTGGTTATCCCTCTTGTACAGATAAGGACACAGAGTCCCCAAGATCTTGAGTAGCTGGTAAGAGATTATAGGGCAAGATTCAGAGACTGTTAATATTTACCAAGTGCCTATGGTGTGTTGGGCCCTGTGTAGGAGTTTCACATATATTATTTTATAACACTATGGCTAGCTCTTACTACCCAAAATTTACAATGGAAATTAGCAGTACTTACTCAAAGAAACAGTGGGTGAATGGGGAAATTGGAATTCATATCCAGATGTCTCTGAATAAAGAAACCAAATTCTCGATACCACACTTTTTTGTCCCTTTATAACTTCATCTGTGTGAGTGGCCAGGAGTAATGGATTATGCAACTGCCTGAAGCGCTCTGGTCTTGTGTTCAATGCACAGGATGGGTACCATTCATTTAAAATCTTCCTGCCCATTCCCCAGCTGAGTCTCATCTCTAACCAGCAGAAACCCATTTTTGGTGGCTGGTAAGCCACTAAATTTACTCTTTGTCCCCGAAATGACCATCAATGAATATTTAAATGCATTTTATTTCTAGATGCCTGATTCATTTCAAATCTATGTAAATTATTAGTTTCTTATGAACAATTAAATTTAGAGTTTACATATGTCAACAACTTTTCTGTTAGTGAAACTGAGAGATCCTATCACTCAGTGTGACATCGCTGAAAATTAAGGGATTCACAATCTTTGCTGACTTGGGTTCCAAGTCTGGGTCAACTATTTGCTGTATGACGCTGGCAATATTATTTAACCTCTAAAAGAGCTCATCTGTTTATCTATTAAAACAGTGAAATGATATTTATCTGAAAGAATCCAGTATATTAATTTAGAGGTACACCCATTAACAAACACATTACGTTCTGTAAATTGGTAATCTATATTTGCTTCTGTTTATTCACTACTTTAAATAACTACACATAAAATATTCAGACCCAGGGACATATAATAAGCACTCAACGTCTGTTGAAAGAAATGAATGTCACTTTTGTCAAATTATTTCTAAAAAAAAAAGTAACTTATTTAGAAAATCTCAAATCTACATTAAGGACCTTGTATTTTAGCATTTTCACCACTTTTACTGAGAGTCAATAGGGACTATTCCTGATTCTGAAAGGCAGAACATAGATAAGGAGACCTGCAAAATTGGAGTTGGATCTGGGTTGCATTTTCAACACTTAAAATTGCTGTGTGACTTTGGTGAGTCACTTGAATTCTCCATTCCTGTTCTCTATCTGTAAATAGAAATAATAAAGACATTTATTCTTAAATTCAGTTTCAATTTTTCATCTATAAAATCAAGTGCTAAATATACACATTGAGCAATTATAATGCTGTAGAGAGATGTTTCTGTCATTTCTATTCCTCTTCCAACTTTGCGCCGTTTTGCAAACATCCTCATGCTAAAGGTTGCAGTTTCTTCCAATTTCTTACTACCATGGTGTGCTCATAAACGCTTGAAATCCCATTTGAATAGGATGCAGGACATCATCAGTTGTTAATCTGACCATTTATTTTTAAGAGTCTATCCTGTTTAAGGCCATGAAATACATTTCTAAGTATTCTGAACTACATCATTTAAATCTTCTCATATCTTGTTTTTGAAAAAGTAGTAATCTTGGATGAAGCCACTTAATCAATAATTTTTTAAGGTCCTTAATTTTCTCAACCCCAGGACATTTTCCTATCCATTGGACCACTTGAATTTCATCTTTATGTTTTGTAGGTGTTTTTGGTAATTTCCTTTCTATTGCATTCCATGATTTTTAATGTTTCCATTTAGGGAATTGTTCTCAAAGAATTTGAGTTGAAAGTGATACTACATATTTATAAAATGTATAAATTGTTTATAACTTTGCATTAAAAAATCAAATATGTCCAATTCAAGTAGCTGGTACAGAATCACTTATTTGCTTAAATATGATACATTACAATTATATCATGTTTTAAATCTCCAACAAACATGACTCCATAATATTTGACTACAAGTTTATATAATACAAATGCTTATATGATGGCTGAGAAAACAAAAATTTTCATTCTTACACTTTTTAAATTGTTATTTTGTCTTCTTCTTTTAATGGAGCATACAGTTTCACCTGCATGCTCCGTCTATTCAGGGGAATTGCAGAGTTACAGTGATACTGCAGTATGTGGAATTGCCCCACCAATTAAATGCAGGATCATGACAATGAGCAAGTAAGGAAGATCTGATGCCACTTCTTTAGAAGAATTCCTTGATAGGGTTTGTCTGTGTCCCCACTCAAATCTCATCTTGAATTGTAGCTCCCATAATTCCCGCATATTGTAGGAAGGACTCAGTGGGAGATAATTGAATCATGGGGGCAGTTTCCCCCATACTGTTCTTGTGGTAGTGAATAAGTCTCACAAGATCTGATGGTTTTATAAGGAGAAACCCCTTTCACTTGGTTCTCATTCTCTTTTTGCGTGCTGCCATGTAAGGCATCCCTTGCTCTTACACCATAATTCTGAGGCCTCCTCAGCCATGTGGAACTGTAGGTCAATTAAACCTCTTTCCTTTATAAATTACCAAGTCTGAGGTATGTCTTTATCAGCAGTGTGAAAACAGACTAATACACTCCTCCTTGGGAAGAAAAGGTTTGAGGGCCTTTGGAGAACAGGGCATGAGAGAAGGATGCCCAGCAAGGGGGGACTAGTGACTGCATCTGGAGGCAAATCTCACAGGCATTTATCACAGTCAGACATTAAATTACGTTGTATTATTTTAAATCTAAGCAGTTGACAACTATGTTAACTAGAAGCTACTGCTTCTTTTAGAAGTAGGTAATAAATGATTAACTTTGAAGTAATATACTGTTCAGAAGGACAGCAGATGTACATAAACCTAAACACTAAGAGCTGGGTCTCCAATACTAAAAGAACTCTACTTTGGCACTCCCTGAGAGAGGGAGTGCTGTTAATAATGTGGAAACGTTTTTGCTAAAAGAGAAGGATTAACATTCATGCCATCGTCCAAATTGTTCTTCTTAAGATATTGTATATTTATATTATAAAATATGTCCTGTTTCTGATTTTATTAATTTATTTCATTCATTAAAGATATATCAGCAAGTAGCAGACTAGGAAGTTCCAGGGCCATATTTTCCCATAAAAATGTCAAATAAAAAATACATAGACCAAAGTTGCTTTGTAAGAACTCTTAAAATTAGCTAAGAAGCTGCAGCAACAAAACAAATGCCTAACTGAAAAAAAAGCCACATAGAAGCAATACGAAATTTCATGGCATTTTTCTTGCCCTTAACCTACCTCGTCTTCAACGTAGTGTGGTGTGATCAGGAGGAATTTGCCCAATCCAAGTTCTGGCCTCAAACTGGAAGAGGAAGAGAGAAGCTTATCTGGAGATTGACTGGCAGACTATTTCTATCTTGCCTGATTCAAAAAGTTGATGGGAATGGTGGTATAGTTTGAATAGCAGGTTCAAGGTCATTTAAAACAGTGACAGGCACCATGGTGACTAAGAGCCACAGGAGGTCAGAAGACCCACTGGTGGCACAGATTATAGACAAAGGAATATAATAAAAATTCCCCGACCTCTAAGAAGAAGCAGCAATATGCCTCTTAGGGAAATTAAGACATTTAAAGCAGTCTTTAAATGGGGAACTGGAACAAAAGCATACACACAAGGCAAGGAAAGACACATCTCCAGTAAAGGTATGAAAGAAGCCTGTGCCTCTATGCCAGGATGATTAGTAAAGGTCTTCCCCTGCACAGAGCCAGTCCACAAAAAGCTAGGAGACAAGGCTACTTTTTTCAAATGCTCAATTTTCAACAAAAGATCCAAGGCATACATACAAAGGAACAGGAAAACATAGCCCCTTCAAAGGAACAAAATAAATCTCCAGAAACTGATCTTAAAGAACAGCAGAATTTAGGATTATTTGATAAAGATGTTCAAACAATAAAGATGTCTAAAGTATGCTCAATGAGCTGAAGGAGAACGTGAACAGACAAGCAAACTAAGGGAGATATTTTATGAACAACATGAGAATATCAACAAAGAATTTGTTTAAAAATTTAAAAATCACAAACAAACAAACAAACATTCTGAACCTGAGAAACAGAATAACTTAGTTGAAAAATGTACTATATGGAGACTTGATCAGGCAGAAGAAAGAATCAGTAAACTTGAAGATATGTCATTTGTAATTGTTGAATCTGAGGAGCAAAAAGAAAAAAGAATGAGTAAAGTGAACAGAACCTAAGGGACATATGGGACATTGTCAAGTGAACCATATACATTATGGAATTAACACAAGAACAGAGAAATAAAGAGACAGGGAGCTTATCTGAAGAAACAATGGATGAAAACTTCCCAAGTATGAGGAAAGAAATGAATATACAGGCTGGGGGCGGTGGCTCACACTTGTAATCCCAGCACTTTGGGAGGCCGAGGAAGGCAGATCACCTGAGGCCAGGAATTCGAGACCAGCCTGTCCAACATGGTGAAACGCTGTCTCTACTAAAAATACAAAAAAAAAAAAGTTAGCCGTGTGTGGTGGTGCATGCCTGTAGTCCCAGCTGCTCGGGAGGCTGAAGCACAAGAGTCACTTGAACCCAGGAGGCAGGGGTTGTAGTGAGCCAAGATTACACACCACTGCACTCCAGCCTGGGTGACAGAGTGAGACTCCCTCTCCAAAAAAAAAAAAAAAAAAAAAAAAAAAAAAGAAATGAATATACAAATACAGGAAGCTCAGTAAATTCTAAATAGGATGGATCCACAAAGATCCACACTAAGACATATTATAATCAAATTGTCAAAAGTCAAAGAGAATCTCGAAAGCAGCAAGAGAAAGGTGACTCAGTATGTACAAGAAAATCTATAATATTAACAGTGGATTTCTCATCAGAAAATTTGCAGGGCAAAAGGCAGTGGAATGATATATTTAATTGATTTTTTAAAATCCTGTCAACTGAGAATACTGTATTCAGCAAATCTGCTTTTCAAAAAATGAAGAGAAGTAAGACATTTCTAGATAAAAACTGAGGAGTTTGTTACTGTTGGGAAAGGCAGTCTTGTGCATGCAATCTTTTGACCCTCACTTGGCCATGTGACAATGGGCCTAGGGTCTGGACCACTTTTTTACCAAGAGAATAAAGAATCTTCATATCCTGTATTGGGATTATCACCTGTGTGGGAATATCTTAGCCTGTTTCAGACTCAATGTGTATTCCTCTTTTCATCTTAAAATTGCACATATTATGGCACCTAGCCAAACCTGATACTACATTTGTCCCCTGCAGGGAGGGGAAGCGTCCTTCTGTAGCACAAGAGAGGTATGGACAGGCAAGTTGTCCTGTGTCAGCTGCTGGGCAGGACCTGCTGGCCATGGGAGACCTATGACCAGTAGTGGAGCTGATCATGCTCTGCCTCTACTCTATGTGAGTAAAGCATTAATCTATTCGGTGATTGGCTGTACTGTGTTTTCCTTGGCAACTCCAATACCAAGATGCAGTAGGCAGAAGTGTCAGGGTTTTCACTCCTTGTGACAGGCAACTGATGTCACTTGCTTGATAGTAACCACTACACCATTCCTATTAGAAATGTTAAAGAAAGTCCTTCAACTTGAAACAATGGACACTAGGCAGTAACTTCAAGCCTTATAAAAATATAAAGTTCTTTGGTAAAGATAAATGTATGGACAAATATTTAAAATTGTGTTATTATAATTCTTATTTGTAATGCCACTTTTAATTATTTAATAGGATTTAAAGTTTAAAAAGCATAACTATAAATCTATATTAATGGGTACACAATATAGAAAGATAATTTGTGACATAAAATGGGAGTGTGAAGAGAGTTATAAAGGAGTAGAGTTTTTGTATGTGATTGAAGTTGCTATCAGTTTAAAATTGATTTTTCTAACAACTGTTTTATGTAATCCCTATGGTAACACAAAAAGATATATCTAGAGAATGTATACAAAGAGAAATAAGAAGAAAATCAAATAAATGTCACTAAAAAATCAACTGAACACAAAGGAAGGCAGTAAGGGAGAAATAAAGGGAAAAAAACTATAAGACATAGACAAAAAATTAGCAAAATGGCAAGAGTAAATTGCTAATCATAAGATATATTTTGGCAGAATGGATGAAAAAACAAGATGCAACTATATACTGTCTACACAAGACTTGTTATAAATCCGAAGACATGCATTGGGGAAGAGAAAGAATGAAAAAAAAAGACAATTCATGCAAATATTAAAAAAGGAGCAGCAAGTGACTATATTGATATTGGATAAAAGAGATGTTGAGTTGAAAGCTGTCACAAGAGAGAAAGAAGGGCACTATGTAATGACAAAAGGGTCAATTCACCAAGAAGATACGATACTTATAAATACATCTATATATATTTTTATATATACACACTGAGCCTGAGAGCTCCTAAATTTATGAAACCAACCTTGACATAATGGAAAGGAGGAAAATATTGATCTACAACAATTATGGGGACTTTAATATCACAATTTCAATAATTGATGAAACATCCAGAGAAAAGATCAATAAAGAAATAGGGGACTTGAACAACATTAGAGACCAATTGAAACTGACAGACATATACAAAACACTTCACCCAAAAACAATAGAATACACATTTCGTTCTCAAGTATACGTGGAGCATAGTTCAGGATAAACCATATGCTAAGCCCCCAAAAACGTCTTAATACACTTAAAAGATTAAAATCATCAAGGTACCTTTTTTTATTACGATGGAATGAAACTAGAAATCAATAGCGGGAGGAAAACTGGAAAGTCTTCAAATGTGTGGAAATTAAATGACAAACCCTTAAGTAACCAATGGGTCAAAGAAAAAAACACAAAGAAAATTAGAAAATATATTGAGAGAAATTAAAATGTAAACACAATATATTCAAACTTGTGAGATGCTGAGAAAGTAATACTAAGAAGGAATTTTATAGCTGTAGATGTTTATACTATAAAGGAACTAAATCAACAACGTAGCTTTATTCCTTAAGGAAGTAGAAAAAGAAGACACTTCACACATCTAGCACACCAAAAGATACAATAAAGATTACAGCAGAGATAAACAAAATTGAGACTAGAAAAACAATAGAGAAATTAGTGAAACATAGGGTTGACTACGTAAAACATGAACAGAACTGTCAAGCCTTTAGCCAGAACAACTGTGAAAAAGGAGCCAGGCGTGGTGGCTCACACCCGTAATCCCAGCACGTTGGGAGGCCAAGGCGGGTGGATTAGGAGGTCAGGAGATCGAGACCATCCTGGCTAACACGGTGAAACCCCGTCTCTACTAAAAATACAAAAAAATTATCTGGGCGTGGTGGCAGGTGCCTGTAATCCCAGCTACTCGGGAGGCTGAGGCAGGAGAATGGCGGGAACCCGGGAGGCGGAGCTTGCTGTGAGCCCAGATAGCGCCACTCACTCCAGCCTGGGCGACAGAGCGAGACTCCGTCTCAAAAAAAAAAAAAAAAAAAGGAGGAAGCTCAAATGGCTAAAATGAGAAATGAAAGTGGGGACATGACAATTGATTTCACTGAAATAAAAAGGATTATGAGAAATTAATAGGAACAATTATACACCAATAAATTGTTTAACCTAGATGAAATGGATATATTCCTAGAAATACAGTCTACCAAGACAAAGTCAAGATGAAATAGAAAACCTTAATAGATCTATAAGGAGTAAGGAGATCAAAGCATTTATCAAAAATCTCTCAACAAAGAAAACCTAGAATCAGATGGCTTGACTGATGAAGTCTATCAAACATTTAAGGATTTAACACCAATCCTTGTCAAACTCTCCCAAAATATTGACGAATAGAAAACACTTTCAAACTCATTCTCTGAGGCCAGAGATAGTCAAATACTAACCACACACAAAGACACTACAAGAAAATAAAACAAGAGACCATCATGATGAATATTGATGGAAAAATCCTCAACAAAATACTGGCAAACAGAATTTGATAGCAGGTTAAAGGGGTTATACACAGTGATCAAGTGAGATTTATTCCTGGAATGCAAGAATGTTACACCAAATAAATATCAGTCAGTATAACACACCAAATTAACAGAATAATGAAGAAATTGACATGATTATTTCAGTTGATGCAGAAAAAGCATTTGACTAACAACTTTGTCAAAATTCAAATTTTACCATAAAAACACTAAACAAACTAGGAATTGAAAGATACTACCTCAACATAACAAAGGTAATAAATAAAAAGCCCCCAGTTTGGCCAGGCGTGGTGGCTCACGCCTATAATCCCAGCACTTTGGGAGGCCAAGGCAGGCGGATCACAAGGTCAGGAGATCGAGAACATCCTGGCTA